AATCCTGGAGAAATGAGGGGGAAAATTTTGGGGTACAAAACTAGGGAAATCGGAAAAGTTTAACAAAATAGGTTTAACTTGAACACCTTATATTCCCCAAAGTCAAATATGATTCTAACCTGCATATTTGTACCATAGTACTCAAATTCTGAGAAGTAATCCATAACTAGTTTATCATGACAGTCTGGCATAACATAAAATTCGCATGTAACGTATGATTGGTTGAGAAAATAATTTTGGCATTGAAATGATGAAAAAGGTGTTAAAAGGCAACGATATCTTCTAAGTTGGGTAACCCCAGGTTATTCAGCCCAGCAGCGGTTGAACCCCAACGTCGTCCCAAAGTGGACTATAAATAAACAAACAAAAGTGTGTAATTTCATCCGTAAAGAAAGAGAGCACATTTCTTATTTAGTGCCAAAACAAAACTTTCTCGACCAGTTTCGTGCATGTGATGACTATCATAAAACTCCAAATGCCTTAATTTGATTGTCCGAATGAAAAGGGGAGAAAAATTGGACAATGGAACTTAAGTACAAAGCATAGTTAGAGAGGTGTCTGATAGGGAAACTTAGGTCTGTAGTCTCACTATGATTAGTGTCCTTGTAAATACCTTTGGCTTTAGATGAGTACCGAGAGAACTAGTTCTTAGACGATCTGAACGATAAATCACGTATGAGTACTGACATGCTTCATTTTCACAAGTTCTTTTATTAAGTGAGCCGCTTGATCCGAAAATTTTTCATATGAAAGCTTTGTTGCTTGAGGACAAGACACGGTCTAAGTTTGGGGGAGTTTGATAAGTTATTTTTTCATTGCTTTTCATAGTTGTTTTACCTTGTTATTCCTTTAGTTTTTATCTATTTTTCCTTTATTCATCAAATTTTATACTTCAGTGTTTTTGGCAATTTCAGTCTTGTATAAGCATTCCAAAAAAAGGGAACTGAAACGAGCAAAGTGCAAGGAAAGGAAAAAGTTCAAGATTTTCACCATGTAAAATCTAGAGGGCTGCTACGGCCACCCCTAGCAGCTGCTACGAACCGTAGCACCAAAGCCCTACCCATCCATCCTTTGATTTCTCGCCCTGCCAAAATCCAGAGGCCTGCTATAACCACCGTAGTAGCTACTACAGGCCGTAGCAGGGAGGCGCGGATTCTCCCAATGATCTGTCAATAATCAATCACGATAATTTTATGCATAAGTTATTTTAATACATGATTTCTTTCATTCTAGCACTTGTACGAAAGTAAAGGGATTTTAGGTACTGATCATAGTCTGAAAGGATACGTATCGGTAACCGATAGCAGGTTTTAAACAGTTAAGTCCAATACAACAAAAGCAGTTGGATGAGACTGAGAAATACCCCATTTTCATAGCTAGGAAAAAGTAAAGAGTATGTGACGAATAATCCGACTGTGCAAAAGCAGACGAATTATTCGTCATAGACACGAAAAAACACGTTGGCGAAAGCAGGTGTAGCACAAAATTATATGTTTTCTATAGTTGCGTAGAATTCTCTTAACAAAATTATATGGATCATACAAAGATGTCGTAGTAAGAATCATATCTATAAGTCTTGTTTGTCTCATTTAAGTTATTTTTCAAAAACATGCTTTTAAAATAAGTTGTTTTTCACTTAAGTTATTTAAAACTTCAGCTTTTGGTCACTCTAGCTTTACACCGATAAGATAGATGTCAGTATTCAACCATTGGTATTTATGGTTCGATAAATTTTTACAACTTTGCATAGTTGTATACTTGCGGCATGTCACTGATAGATTTCATTATTATCTTTGATAAATAAATATGAACCAAATCTTCCTTCAAAGAATATTCAAATAAAACTTTTCTTCAATGCAAATCCAATCATTATAGATTTAATAAAATCTTTTTTCCAATGATTTGGATTAGCAAACTTCTTTCAAAAGAAATCTTATGATCATACCAGAATCAATGCAAAACTTCTAGCCAAATGTTGAAGCGGTCATATGATGCAATATGTGCATTACGTGCACCTAGATGTCATACAACTTGTTTAAGACATCTTGCTCAACAAGTTGTCTACAAACATTAGCCAATCAAATCTTTCTTTAAATGCAACTTCAACATAATCTTAGAATGAGAAAACCTAAACCAAATCACCTTTGAAATCAAACTCATATGTTCTAAACATCTTGCTCTACAATTTCCTTACAATCAAATCTTTCTTTCAAAGCAAGTTTAGTAGAAAATTAGACTGAACAAACCTAAACCATCTCTTGTAATAACCTTTAGAATGAAACACATAACCAAATGAGCCAAGATCTGCTCCATAACTTTTTGGAACAAGTTTGGTTCTGCAACTAATCCTTAAATTTTGATGATAACAAACATATAATGTATGAAGAAAAAATTTGTACTATAATAATTTGTTAAGTCTGCAGGACTTGATAAGATTGTTCTGGACTTTTGGCTAAAAAAGTTGTAGAATATTGACTAGTGAAAGCTCTGGACTCTGAACGAGCAACTATGGACTCTGGACATCAAACACACTATGAACCAATGGAGAATACAAGATGTGTTTACAAAAAATATGCATCTGAAAGCATCAAGTCTAATCATGAAAGGATCTTATGCAGAATGACTATGATGATTCAAGACTCTAAAGTCTCAACGTTCTCAAAGCTCTGAAGACACTCTGATCAAACTTCAATGAATTTTATCAAAAGCCTTTGACTTGGGAAGTTAACTGAAGAGAGATAATAACTCTGATCAAGCTTCAATCAATTTTTTTAGAAGCCTCTGACTCAAGAAGTTAACTAAAGAAAGAAAGTGACTCTGAATCCTGATCAAACTTCAACAACTTTATTAAGAAGCCTTTGACTCAAGATACGATAACTAAAGGAATATAGCATGGAAATATTATAATAATGCAACATCATTATACTCTACTTTACTCTACAAAAAAGATTGTGCGTCAATACCAACTTTTTCAATATGTCACATCCTTTCTTCTCACTGCTGCTAGCACCACTCTACTATTGTGCATCAAACGTCTTCTTGCATCTATGATTTTTGAAATTCCATCTTCACCCTTCAACGGTTATATTCATCATTTATATAAAGGAGATATTAAATCATTGGAAATACAACAATAACACACAATGAATGTACATATTCAAAGAAAAGAAAAATCCGTGAGAACCCAAAGTTGAGAAATCACACAAAGAAGAAAGTTGTCATTAATCTTTACAGCTTTATAACTTTCATTCTTTGTAAGTCTTGTTGTACCCAAACTGTGTATCAGCTTTTTAAGAAGAACTTTATAAACACAAAACTTTGTAATATTAACCAGTTGGTTAATTTTCTTTAGTGACTAAGTGTTTAATAATATGGGATAGAGAATATGAATTTCTTTTAATGTATTTTCTATAAATTTCAATTTTTAATTATTTACAAATTGTAATTTTCGTTATAAAATAATTTCTTTTTTAAATTTGGAATAAAATCCTCAAGTAATTAACAAAATCTTCTTTTTATAGAAATTTGTCTAATATTTAATAAATGTAATTTTTGAATATATATATATATATATATATATATATATATATATATATATATATATATATATATATATATATATATAGACAAATTTCTATAAAAAGAAGGTTTTGTTAATTACTTGAGGATTTTATTCCAAATTTAAAAAAGAAATTATTTTATAACGAAAATTACAATTTATAAATAATTAAAAATAGAAATTTATAGAAAATACATTAAAAGAAATTCATATTCTCTGTCCCATATTATTTGTCGCAATTGAATATTTCACACAGATTAAGAAACAATAATAAATAAAAAAGAGAATAGTGACTTTACTAAATTATCTTGATTAATTATGTGTATTCAAATTAGTATTAACGTTAAGTGAAAAAACAATAAATTAAGAGTATTTGTTAGAGGGTACAATTGAAGGATTAAATATAAAATTGAATTGATATTTTAAGACAAATTTTATTTTTAAATGTAATATTTATTTTGAGACAGAGTATATAATAAGAATTTAAGTATATATTAAAAAATCTCTACGTAGTATGCATATATAAAAAAGGTATTAATGTACTCAATGTTGAATTGAATTTTTATATAGTATTAATAGGAAAAAAATTGATAATGATTAATTTTTTAGAAAATAGAATAGGCACCATATATATAAAATATAAAAATATATTTAATCCCAATAAATATAGTAATTATAACATAGCATATTAGTGTGGAAAGGCACAATGAAACAATAGCTAGCACCCGCACAAAAGGGATTGGTGGAAGCATAAGAAGGGTATATGCCATTGAATATTTTGTTATAAACTAGAAATTTGTTTATTTTGTTTCAAACCGGAATTTGTTATTCTCATGTGTTGTACCTTGTATTTTCTAAACCTTATAAAATCTTCTCATTCTATTCTTCTCTTTCAGACAGATTTCATTCGCCATAGTTTCTTCTTGTATTTGAAGGTTAGTTTTCTTTTTAGTCATTATTCTTTTCTTTGTAGTAGCAATAGCATTATCATGTACCATCTCATGTCGCTTTTTGTGCATGCATCATGTCACTGTCACAAAACATCAATATGTTTAATGCTAAGCCGTAAATAATTCTTTCCATGCATGCTGCTGTTTTTTCTGTTGATTTTATGTAGAGTTTTGCACTTACAACTTATATATAAAAACATCAATAAGAAGGATTCAATTCAACCTCTGCTCGTCAAAAAAAGCCGATTTATTCATATATGTTTTGTACTTTGAATTTTTATATTCTTTTGTTGAATTTCGATTTCCAATGAGTTGGTACAACTGATGGTGTAATAATATTATTGATTGATTTCATCTGATAACATCTTTAATTTGTATCATTTCAAAACAAAGATTTCTCCATTAATCAAATTTGACTCTTAGTTCCACTTTTGCAGGGAAGGTAATAAGAGAGAAACATAAGGAGTCTAGTGAATTTAGCTTGAAAGGTCATGGCAAAGGACCAAATTCAGGTGCTAAATGCACTTGATGTGGCGAAAACCCAATGGTACCATTTCACTGCGATCATCATAGCTGGTATGGGCTTCTTTACTGACGCGTATGATTTGTTCTGTGTATCGCTTGTCACGAAGTTGCTCGGCCGTATATACTACCATGTTGATGGTGCAGCGAAGCCGGGAACATTGCCTCCGAATGTATCAGCGGCTGTAAATGGTGTTGCATTCATTGGAACACTTTCAGGACAGCTTTTCTTTGGTTGGCTTGGTGATAAGTTGGGTAGGAAAAAAGTATATGGCATGACACTCATGATTATGGTTATTTGTTCAATTGGTTCTGGCCTTTCTTTTGGACACACTCCAGAAACTGTCATGGCAACTCTTTGTTTTTTCCGCTTCTGGCTTGGATTTGGTATCGGTGGAGATTACCCGCTTTCGGCTACCATAATGTCAGAATATTCTAATAAGAAAACTCGTGGTGCCTTCATCGCCGCAGTCTTTGCCATGCAGGGGTTTGGAATTTTGGCAGGTGGTATATTTGCAATCATAATAGCTTCTATATTCAAGGCCAAATTTGATTCTCCGTCGTACGCGGTTGATCCACTTGGTTCAACGGTTCCACAAGCAGACTTCGTTTGGAGGATAATCGTGATCGTAGGAGCATTCCCAGCTGCATTGACTTACTATTGGCGGATGAAGATGCCAGAAACGGCCCGTTACACCGCTTTAGTTGCTAAGAACACGGCACAGGCAGCAGCAGATATGTCTAAGGTTCTACAAGTTGAGATTCAAGCTGAACCAGAGGAAGAAGTGAAGGAGAAATATGGCTTGTTCACCAAGGAGTTTCTAAGTCGCCATGGCCTACATCTTCTCGGTACAACAAGCACTTGGTTCTTGCTTGATATAGCATTTTATAGCCAAAATCTCTTCCAGAAAGATATCTTCAGTGCAATTGGTTGGATACCTCCTGCACAAACCATGAATGCACTTGAGGAGGTTTACAAAATCGCAAGAGCTCAAACACTTATTGCTCTCTGCAGTACAGTTCCAGGTTATTGGTTTACGGTGGCTCTCATTGACAGGATAGGAAGATTTAAAATTCAATTGATGGGATTTTTCTTTATGACCGTGTTCATGTTTGCGCTAGCCATTCCTTATGATCACTGGACTCATAAAGATAACCGAATTGGATTTGTAGTATTGTATTCCTTGACGTTCTTCTTTGCAAATTTCGGCCCTAATGCTACCACATTTGTTGTGCCGGCAGAGATTTTTCCTGCCAGATTCCGTTCTACTTGCCATGGAATATCATCCGCAACAGGAAAGCTTGGTGCTATAGTTGGTGCATTTGGGTTCTTGTACTTGGCACAAAACCCGGACAAGAGTAAAGCTGATGCAGGGTACCCTGCAGGTATTGGTGTGAAGAATTCTCTGATAGTGTTGGGTGTGGTTAACATTTTGGGATTCCTCTTTACTTTCTTGGTGCCTGAGGCAAATGGAAAATCACTGGAAGAGATGTCAGGTGAGAATGAAGAGGAGGAAGTTGGAAGCAAAGATGTAGAGAAATCTCATGCTAACAACAACGGCACTGTTACACATATTTAGTTTTTTGTTTTTTAAGTATATTCATTGCTGAATCTATAATGTCTCTAAATGTGGTACCATACACGCATCACTCTTTGTGCAATTGGTGTAACAGTGGCTTGTACTGTTTTATAATAACAACGTCAATGCAAGAGTGAGCAAAACATAAATTCGTATTTATGATAATGTGTGAGTGGTTCTTCTTTATATTTTTATCGACCATTTCTCAAGTCTGTCCTGTAATAAATATAAGAAATAATATTTGTTATAAAAAAGGTTTTCACTCTTTAAATGTATACATCTTAAAAAAATATGTGAGATTATAATTCTTTTGTGTCGAAATTAAGTATGTGTCGAAGTGTTTGTAATTTTCGAAGTGTAGAAACAGTTTTATACACTCAGATTTGATTTAAATATAAAATAGATAGATTTGATTTAGTTTCAAAATAAATATTTTAGACTTATATAGGTTTGAGTTTTGGCTTAGAGATGAAGCTAAATAAATCTATAAATAGTAGGAGTAACTCCTATTTTTATAATCAATCAAGTTGTATTCACAGAATTTGCAGTTGCAAGTGAATAAGAAAGTTTTCTATAGTTTGTGGGCAGAAAGTTACTCTGTAGAAACCCTAAATCTCTTTTCTTCTTTAATTTTCTTTTCTTTTCAATGTTATTGTGTGGTGATAACAATCTTGTTCATCAAGATTGATAAAAATTCATCATAGGAATTGATGGATTTCCAATATCTAGTATCAAAAGCTCCGGTTGAGTGATTCAAGGGAAGAACAATCAAGAACGATTGAGAAAGAAGAAGAAGATCACGATGGAGATGAATTACGCTAACGAAAATTTTACAACAAATCTCTCAATTCTTAAAGGTGATAACTATGAGAATTGGTGCAAATAGATGAAAGTTATATTCTGTTTTCAAGGTCTTTGGGATCTTATGAAACATAGATTAGAACTGCTTGATGAAGAAGCTTAAGAAGAAGAAGAAACATAATACAAAGAATCGAAGAAGAAGAATTATAAAGGTCTCTTTATAATTCATCAATGTGTCAGCTCAGACAATTTCGAAAAGGTTAATGATATAGAATCTGCAAAAGAACCTTAAAAAATGTTGAAGAAATCGTTTGGAGGCGTTGAGAAGGTGAAATAGGTGAGGTTACAAACTCACAAAAGAACGTATGAATTACTTCAGATGGAAGATAGCGAAAGCATATCTGATTTCTTCACTAGGGTTACAAAACTAGTGAATAAAATCAAGACTTGTGGAGAGACGTTAACAACAAGAGCAGTTGTTTCGAAGATCTTGAGATCTTTGGCATCGAAGTTTGATCATGTCGTAGTTGTTATAGAAGAGTCGAAGAACATGTCAACTTTTTCAAAAGAAGATCTTCAAGGGACGCTTGAATCTCGTGAACAAAGAATGGCAAAAAGAGTTGCAGGCAAGTCGAAGAGCGATGTGGCTCTGCAGGGTCAATCAACAAAAGATAAGAAAGACAAAGGAAAGTGATTCGACAACAAAGGTAGAGGTGGCTACAACAATTCGACTGGTAAAGGAAACCAACAAGAAGAAAACGTGTCGAATCAGAGAAGACTATACCAAGGAAACCAAAGAGGTGGTGTTGTAAATAGAGGAAGAGGTGGTGGTCGAAAGCCTGACAAGAGTCACATTTAATGTTTCAATTGTCATAAGTATGGTCATTATTCTAATGATTGTCCAAAAAAGCGAAAGAATCAAGAAAGTGATGCGAAGTTCGTAAAGTATGAAGAATAAGAGATGTTGTTGATGGTTACAACAAGGGATGAAGAAAAATTCAAGGACCAATGGTACTTGAATTCAGGATGCTCATCATATATATATATATATATATATATATATATATATATATATATATATATATATATATATATATATATATATATATATATATATATATATATATATATATATATATATATATATATATATATATATATATATATATATATATATATATGGAAGGAAAGATTGATTTGTCAACCTAAAACCCTCAATGAAAAACATGGTGATATTTGAAAACGATAATACTATAGCAACTGGAGATATTGGTGATGTTATGATTATGAGGAAAGATGGTAAGAGGTTAGTAATTTCCAATGTGTTGTACATACCAGGAATGAAGAGCAATTTGTTCAGTATAGTGCAGTTGGTCGAAAAGAATTACAAAGTGTCAGTCAAAGACAAGATGATGAGAGTCATCGGTGCAAATGAAAGATTAATCTTGAAGACTCATATGTCTCAAAATAAAACCTTCAAGATTCAACTTAATGCGATGGAGCACAAGTGCCTTTCGACTGCAGCTAGTAGAGATGAATGGATATGGCACTATGGACTAAGTCATCACAACTTCAGAGACATCAGAGATTTGAAAAGAAGAAATTTGGTTTCAGGAATGCCAGAAATTGACATTCCAAACAAAGTGTGTGAGGAATGTGTACAGGAAAAGCAACACAAGAATAGCTTCAGCAAGGATGCTGAAAGCAGGTCGAAGGCTATTCTCGAAGTCATATACTCTGATGTGTGTGAACCAATTCAGGTGGATTCAATGAGAGGTAACAAATACTTTGTTACATTTATATATGATTTCAGTCGAAAACTATGGACTTACCTAATCAAGAAGAAAAGTGAAGTGATCGAGGTATTTTTCAAGTTTAAGTCTATGGTCGAAAGACAAAATGGTCGAAAGCTCAAAATTTTGAGAATTGATGGTGGTGGAGAGTATGTGTCAAAGGACTTCGACAAATTATGTGAAAAGGAAGTAATTATGCATGAGGTGGTGTCCCCCTACACTCCACAGCTGAATGTAACTGCAGAAAGAAAGAATCAAAGAATCATGAATATGGTGAGAAGTGTGTTGAAAGACAAGCATTTACCTAAACAGTTTTAGGGGTGAAGTTGTGTCAACTGCAACATATATTTTGAATAGATGTCCAACAAAGAAGCTAGAAGAAATTAATCCAGAAGAATGTTGGTCTGGTGTGAAGCCTAGCTTAATTCATCTGAAGGTATTTGGACCTATTACACATAGGAATGTGCCATATCAATTGAGAAGAAAACTTGAAGACAAGTCGAGTCAAATGATCCTAGTTGGATATCATTTGGCAGAAGGTTACAAGTTGTTAGACTCAATGAACAAGTGGATTGTGATCAGCAGGGATGTGATCATATATGAACTTAAAGAATGGGATTTGACTTAAAATATCAAGATAGATTCAGTGAGAATCTTACTTGAAGAACCAGCAGAAACTCAAGTCAAAAGAGAAGTTCGAAAAGAGGATGTAGTTAGAGATCAACCAAGTACGAGCAGACCTCAGAGAGCAAGACACATGCATGCAAGGTTGCAAGATTGTATGATTACATAAGATGATATGGTTGATAAAGGTGAGCTAGTACATTATAATTTTTGTGCAGATGTTGAACCAGTCAATGCAGCTGAAGCATTGAAGGATTCGAAATGGGCGACAGCAATGAGCGAAGAACTAAAGTCCATCAAAGACAACAACACTTGGTCACTTGTCGAATTGCCTTAAGGCAAGAAGGAAATTGATGTCAAGTGGGTATACAATGTGAAGATGAATTCCAAAGTGGAAGTAACTCGACACAAAGTGAGGCTCGTGGCGAAAGGATTTCTCTAGAAAGAAGGAATAAACTTTGATGGAGTTTTTGCACGTGTTACTAGAATCGAAACAATCGGATTGGTTATTGGTCTAGCATAAATAAACAGTTGGCATATATATCAGATGAACGTGAAGTGTGCATTCTTGAATGAACTCTTAGACGAATAAGTTTATGTTAAACAACCAGTTGGGTTTATGAAACATGACGAAGAGATAAAGGTGTACAGGTTGCATAAAGCTCTGTATGAATTGAAATAAGCTCTAAGAGCTTGGAATAAGAAAATTGATAGTTTTATAAGGGAGAAGGAATTTGTGAAGTGCACAACTAAATATGGAGTATATGTAAGAGGAAGAAATAGTGAATTACTTATAATATGTCTCTATGTCAATGACTTGTTAATAACAGGTAGCTGCAAGAAGGAAATCGAAGACTTCAAAGGTGATCTCAACAAGGAATTTGAAATGTCTGGTTTGGGTGACATTTCATATTTCCTTGGTATCGAACTCTACAAGAGTAGTAGAGGTTTGATGATGCATCAAAGAAGATATGCAGGAGAAATTCTCAAGAGATTTGAGATGGAAGAATGCAACTCGACTTTGACACATGCAGAACCAAGACTGCAATTGTCGAAATATGCAGAAGAAGATGATGTCGATCCAACCCAATACAGAAGACTTATTGGGTCATTGAGATACCTTTGTCATACAAGGCCTGACTTAGCATATAATGTAGGTATGGTAAGTAGAATCATGTAGAAGTCAAAGGAATCACACCTAGCAGCGACAAAGAGGATATTGAGATATCTGAAAGGAACTCTTGACTATGACATTTTGTTTCCCGTAGCTTATAAAGGAAAATAATGAAAATTAGTTGGATACACTTATTCAAGTTGGTGTAGTGATGGTGAGGATCCCAAATTCATATCAAGATATGTGTTTATGCTAGGTGGTGCACTAGTTGTTTGGAGTTCGAGAAAGGAACCAGTATATGCATTATCATCATGCGAAGTAGAGTATATAGTTGCTTCTCTTTGTGCATGTCAAACAATATGGGTGGTGAATTTGGTCGAAGAAATCACAGAGAAAGATCATGGAGCAATTACCATGAAGATCGACAACATGTCAGCTATAAACTTGGCGAAGAACCCAATAGCACATGGTCGAAGCAAGCACATCGAGATGAGGTTCCACTATCTTCGAGAGCATGTGGCAGATGGGAAGATGAACTTGAAACACTGCAGAACTGAGAAATAGATTGCAGGCATCATGACGAAGGGTGTGCAGGTCGAAATATTTAGAAGACTAAGAGTCATGATGAATATAGATAGTTTAGACACAATGAATTAGGTGGTGTGTTA